CACACACACACACACACACACACCCACACACACACACACACACACCGGCAACACTGGCGACACCAACCGCAGCACCAACTACTAGATGGCAGAAAGATCTACAGACATGGCATGAGACGCAGCCTACACTTCAAACTTGAACTGAGACAAGATTGGCAACTGCAAATTCTGAACCAGGAAGGGAAACATTGACTCGTGTTTGAACAAGAGAAGCACCAGCCAACAAAAGAAGAAGAAATTGATTTCTCAGATGGTCAACATGGACCACTATTCAACAATAATGCCGAAAGCAAGGTTGCAAACATGAAGCTGAATCGGATTTTACAGTGGCCAGATCTCGCATTACAAGTGATGGAAAATATGGCGGAGAACAAAGGACCAAAGAACTTCAAAGAAGCATGGAATCACCCAGACGAATATTAACGATATGACACAACGTGGCGTTTAGCGCAAAATGAAACGATGAGATTTACCAACTGGAAGAAGATGCACCAAATGCAAACGGGTATTAAAGATAAAATGAAATGGGGCGTTCTGAGCAAGACTGGTTGCATGAAGATACCCACAGATACCTGGAGCCGATTTCCTTTGCTCCAGTTATCAAAAGCAAACGGACGCCGTCAAAGAGCAGATGGCGTGATGAACAACTGATATATCCAAGATCCTTGATACGAAAACAGGAGACATCAGTTGGGGGGAGAATGAGATGACGCCACAATTGATGTTTGAATGAGATGACGCCACAATCAATGTTTGATCTTGACTTGGAAGACACAGAATCCAAATGCAGCTTCAACAAGTTGAACGAGGCTAAGGACGTTGATGACGGCATGCTCCAGGGTCGATGATGGCATGACTGCTCCAGGGGACTACGGAAGCTGACAACATAAACGCACAAAATTACGTCAACATGGAGATTGGTTTTAGGAGAGGCCAGGCAGACTATGCAATAGGAAAGGGCACCCAAGCAAACCTGCTTTTGACCGTTGTCTAAAAACGCGCGCGATTCCTTGGGAAAGTCAAATCTAACTACTAGAAACTTACACACAAGTACAGGATACGTATCCCAAAATCGATCAAAGAAGCCATAAAAATTGACAAAGAGAATCTGGACAAATTGACAAAGAGAATTGGGACACATTATGGCAGGACGCGACTTAAATGGAAATGAAGAACAATACTAGTAATGATAGCAACACTAAACAGAGTGGACTTGCAATGTGCAGATATCCAGAACGCTTTCCTCACTGCACCAGCAATTGAGAGGTACTACATGGTAGCAGGACCTGAGTTTGGAGACAAAGAAGGAAACGTCTTCATTGTAAGAAAGGCATTGTGCCAATCCTGACGTTTGGATGAGGGCAGCTGTGAAGCCTGATGGGGGGGAATATTACGAATATATCCTTTGTTACGTCGATGACATGATCTGTATGTCGATGAAAGCCAAGGAAGTGATGGAATGAATTGGAAGGGCGTTCATATTCAAGAAAGAGAAGATTGAACCACTAGAGAGCTATCTAGGAGCCAGGTTACGAAAGAAGACTTTGGACGGATTTGGTGTGTGGAAGATGCCTAGTTATGACTATGTCGTGGCAGCCGTCAAGAATCTTAAAGAAACGTTGAAAGACAACACAAGTCTGAAGCTACCAAAGAATGCACTGACGCAAATGACCAGTGCTCACGAACTGGAGATGGACGGATTGAGTCAATGACCAGTGCTTACAAACCAGAGATGGACGGATCAAGTGAATTAGGACAAAATGATCATACCTACTTCCAAGAGTTGATTGGGATGTTACGATGGACGACGGAGATTGGACGAGTTGACATCTTATTGGAAGTATTACTTTTGAGCCAATATCAAACGGCCCCAAGAGAAGGGCACATGGAGCAATGAACGACTGAAGTATCCAACATCCTTGATACAAAAAGAGGAGCAAGCATTGAGGATATGTACTATGATTCGAGGGTGCGGAACTTTGATCACTACAAATTAGGATCTTCACAAGAGGATTTCCAAGCATGCTATCAAGACGCAAAAGAGGAAATGTTACACTCTGATCCAAAAACGAGGGAACGAAGAGTAGGGAGTACTGTATGGGTGGATGCTTTGCATATTGCCAACAAGAAGATGCGAAAGTCGCATATGGGGCATGTGATTTTCTTCAATCGAGCGCCCATTTTATGGTACGGTAAAGGACAAAACAGGGTGGAAGCGAGCACTTTTGGTCCGGAATTTATAGCATTAACATCATGCATTGAAGCTGTTTTGCATTTGAGATCCAAATTGAGGATGTTTGGAATACCTTTGGAAGGTGAACCAACACACATATTTTGTGACAACAAGAGTGTGGTTATGACTGCAAAAGGTTGAGTCGACATCAGACAAGAAGCACAATTTGATAGACCACCATTATACCAGGTGGAACGTGGCTGCTGTTGTCATGGATATGAGGGATGACAAACCTCGCTGATGCTGTAACGAAACGATTGACGCTAGGAAGAAGGGGACGACTATATGGAGAATGGACGTACTAATCACAGTGTCGAAATGGATCCCATCTTTGGAACCCATTTCGAGGGGACCAAATAAAGGTGACCGTGCTATTGAATATGAGATCGATCATGCTGTCGTGCACGCGTGTACGATCGCTAGAGTCCGTATGTATAGTAAGGACAAATTGGCCCCCAGGGAAGCACATTGATCTGACGATGGTAACACACTTTTTTGAATACGAATGATTTACACTATCATCTTTTATACATACTATCATCTTTTATACAAGTCAAATGTAACATAATACTTCAACTATTATATTTATACGGAAACACATGCATGCATGCAGTTCAATTTTTTGCATACAATCCGGCGGGACAACCACTTTTTACAATTACATTATTAATCCAGCAAAAACGAAAACACGCATCATGGCAACCACCGCAATAAACACTTCGGCAAATCCGCTCGAGGCCGCTTGGACATGGGGTGCAGGCACAGTAGTTGAATCCGACGAGGAAGACCACGACTCCCGTTGGGAATCTGCCAGAAGCACAGCTTCAGACATGCAAGCATCTTGAGGGTGGGGTGCTGGGCTCCTACCAGAAGAAGATTGTGATGAGGAAGACGAGGGCAAAGATGAATAGGATTTTGGTCGTTGTAAAGTGCAAACAGAACCATCTCATGAAGACGAAAGTCAGCAAGTGCCAAATGCAACATCCAAGGTGAAAGAGGATGAGGAAGATGATTGGAATTTATTCGAACATCGCAAGGGTGTAGAAGATGATGCAGAAAGCGGTACTGCTGCTACATTCATGGGAGATTCCATTTCTTGTGTCTCATCTATCCAAGAACTTAAAGTGGCCGTTAGGGATGGTTCCCTGGACAATGCTCTAGAAGAAGCTCGAAGGAGTTTTGAGCTTTGCCAGTCTTTGCGATTCTCGCAACTAGTCTCGGGTCTTCCAGAAGAGGACGAAGAAAACGATGATAAGAAGAAGGCGAACGACATTAGCTCATCAAACTTTATCAGCCTTGCAAATATTGATGCGTCAGACAACAAGCCACTAGTAGGCTCTTCCTGGTGGAATTTATTGCCAAGTCCTTCCGAAGTCGATGAATCCATCAGGTCCACCGGATCGGCCAAGAGAAATAAGAAGATGAAGGATGCTCGGAGGGCCAAGGTGTTGTCCTCAATTTCCCTCTCTCTTTCCTTGGTGTCATCACCTATATCCGAGTCTTCTATTCCGGAGGACATAGCATCGGTCAAGAGTAGGAGGACACACAATCAGAAGTCAAAAAGCAAGTCTCCCAAACGATCCACCAGCTACAAGAAGAAGGACAAGCCCCATGATTCTTCCAGTGTGGTTTCTTCCAAATCTAAACAAAAGAAGACTCGAAAAACCAAATCACTATCTCCCACTCGCAGTAGTGGTGGCAGTAGAAAGAAGATTGCCGAGAAGCTTGACGCTGTGAACAAGAGATTGGGAGACACTGTTGGAGTGGTTTCCACACCTGCAAGACGCCGGAACAAGAATGCCCATAAAATTGAAGGATATCAACAAGGAAAGCACTAGACTCAAAAGCTAGAACCCAAACGCATGTCATCCCGTCGAAAGATCGTGCGGGAGGACTCATTATCGTTGTCGGCCATACAAGAAGCAGAATCAAACGCCCAGGAGTAAACACAATCAGAATGTCGTGTTTCCGTACAAGCTTTGTGAAAAGTATAGAAAAATGTATAAACACACTATTGTTCATTCGTTTCCAGTGCCTGCAGCCTACATTGTCAAACTAGACGTGAACAGTGGGCGACGAGTAGAAATCGACAATCTGATCCTTTGGGAAACCACCGGTCAGTAGCCAATCTCGGATGCAGCTGTCAAACCCTGGGCTGCCACATACATATGCCACCATGTTGCTTCCGGCGTGTACCTTCGTGCCATTCTTGTTCGAGTCTTCGCTAATACCTCTAAAATTGGCTCCCTCTTGACTCGATTCAACTTCACTTGCTGACACTAGACTTGAAACTAGCTCCTGATTCAATTTCATGGACATGCATTTGTTTCCATGCACACGCCAGAAGACATCATTAACAGCTGGCGCTTCATCCATATCATTCTTTTCATCATCTGAAGGATCACCTCTTAGACTCAACTCATCCAACGCACCCTCTGCACTCAATCTATGGGAGAAGTCAAGTGGATCCTTGCCTTGCATGTCTCCAAGTTTTCTGGTTTGAAATCGTTTGTAAAACGGTTGCTTATCACGTGGGCGACGAGACTCGGTTATTGTACCAGTCGTTCCTTTCAAGGCGGCAACATCGACTACCGGTTTCTTGGAAGAATACAGGACAGCCCACCGGAACTTGCGTTTGAATACCTTCACATGTTCTCCTAGCCCTATCCACTCATTGTAGTTGTGCATCGGACTCTTCAATATCCAGATCAAGAAAATACTAGGAGAATCTTTCATTCGCTTTGGTGAATAAAAATCAATCAGTTGGAGCATCGGCGCAATCCCAGTGCCTGCGGCAAAGAGAATCAGAGATTTTGAACGGGGAGTTGTGCCAAGTTGCTGCAGTACCTTTGGGTTGACAGTAGGACCAAATATCGGCAAGGTCTTTCCTATTGTCCAACTCATGCACGACTTCTGCAGTTGCCCACCAGCGCGAAGGCTTATCAGGAACTCGAGAACTTCTTCGTCATTGTTTACATCCAACCCATCTTTCCTCATAGCATCGCTTTTCTGGAGCCTGACAGGGGTGTAGTAAGCTTCAAAGGTTGTGCCCCAAGGATTCGTAATGCGAAACCTGTAGGCGGAGCTCGGAATTATAACATCTTGGGAATCAATATTGGGTCGCTTTGGGGCCGCTAGATAGAGCATCACAACGGGCTTGTTGTCAGCTGTGACTTCATGGCTAGGCGTAACAAATGAAGCGTAGATAATTCGTGCTCTTCGGAATATTCGCGCAGTTA